AAAATGCTTTGAGAGAACCCAGAACTGACAAAGATTATGTTTTTACCTTTTGGCAGATTCAAAGCTTAATACTGGTTTCTGTAAACATATTGGTTCACAGAAAAATAATATTAACATTTCTATGCTGTATTCTAGTTCCTTAAGATTCCTCTGTGCCAGGTACTGTGCTAGACACTCAGTGTCCTTGTGGAGCCTTCTACTGAGGGTGGCAGACGCCATCTTGGCATTAAAATATCACTGACATCTTGCAGCCAGAAGACATTTGGTGCGCCTACATGTCTTGAAAACACACAGTCGAATGGTTATTTGCCCTGAACTTTTTGTTCTTATGCTACCAGGTTTTATCTTTACATTGCCAAAATACTAGAGCCCGTTTGAAATGGCTCTACTAACAACAACAAATATGGAACACTAAGTTAAAACCTAAATTCATAAAACCATTATTTTGACCATTAATCTTGGCTTTTGCCTCATACAAGTAAACTGTGGTTGTAAGAGGATACTTCCTTTTGGGTTTTCCTGCATTATCAAAGATTTTGAAAAGCCATGGATGTCTTAATAAAACCTCTTGTTCTCCATTTAAGTCTGCATCCTGGGGAGACCCAGCTATGAAAACAGAAAAAGAGAAGCACAATGGGCTAGGCAAGGAGTCCGATGGGTAAAAAGAAGTTGAAAACCAGAGGATTCTTAAAGGGTCTTCTTTCTCGTTCAACATATAATTCTTGAGCCTACTATGTGACAAACACTTTGGTGGGTGCCAAGAATCGCTGCCCTTAAAGAGCTTACATACCCTTCCCAGATGCTTTAAATAAACTCAGCTTGTTCAAAGGAAAGGACGCAGGTGAGAATTAAAAAATATAACAAGCATTTACACTATATCGTTAGAATCTACCCACGTTGTTGCCCCTTATTCTACACTTTTCTGGTTATGAACTTCATTTTGGTTCTATTTTTGAATTACTGTTCTTCACATAGAGCATTACAGTAACAATTTAATTTGTACTCAATTTTCAAAATTCGACTTTGGAAACCAACCCCTGCAAGACAAGATCCTTGGTTATCCTCGCTCAGTACACTGAGACGCCAAACAAAGCTACATTCCCTCTGTGCCGACCTTCATCTTCAATAACAAAGACCGGATAGACCTGTCTCTTTGGCTCACACAGCCCATGGAGGAAGAACAATCAGAGTCATTTCAGAAGCACACTAAATGGAGTTAAGGTGCATTCATGCTCTGAAGTTTTAGATATAACTGGCCAACATTCTAACCACCAGAGGCTGTAGACTTTCTAAACAAAAGACTTTGAGATGCATAAAATAGAGGTGTTTTTTTAAAACCTCTATAACTGCATTACATTAACTCTGTTTTGCCTATCTTGATTTTGACATTGAAAAATAAAGGGCTAAAAGACTATGTGGATTTTATTTCATCATTCATCCTTACTTTGCAGGCATATGTTCATAAACCAATTAAAAGTCCTGGCAAGACTTAGGAAGAGCAGCAACACCTTTTGCTGGGATGGAGGTAAGGTAAAATCGCAACAACATGCATTGTCAGTGGAAATGTGAAAGGTGAAATTAGTCTGGCAACACTTATTCAGATTAAGTACGCATGTTCTTGGAGCCAATAATGGTACCCCTGAGACTCTATCCTATAGAATAAAAGCATCAGTAAATTAGAATGTACATGCAATCGTCAGATTGCAACATTAATCATAGTGGCAGAAAACTGGAAGCAGCAAATTCCTATTGACAAGGGAATGACTGAATAAATTATGATATACCCACTCTATGAAATTATACATCCATCAGAGAATGAATCAAAACTATATCAGACCACGTGAAGAAGCATTCATATAATATGGACATTTTTTTTTGAGAAACAATTACTTTCACAATTCTGTGAGCATATATATGTATGCATTTTCCAGTATGAAGAAAGATATAGAGATATAGATAGACATAGATATAAATATAGATATCAATACAGATATAGATGATATAGATATATAGAAATAAAAAGATAGATAGAGATAGAGGTAGAGATAGAGATAGAAAACAGAGATAATCTCCCACATACATATATATAGTTTATGTATGAATGCATATTATATGAATTATATGGGGGCAGGAGGATTAAACAATTAAGTTGTTGAGATGGGTAATCTTGCATGTAGGGAGGGCAGAGCTAATGCAGCATGAACAAGAAGTGAGTGAAAGGGGAAATGTGTAAAAAATGGAAATTACTGTGTGAGCAAAATTAATAGCAATCAACAAATTAAAAATATTTCAATAATTATGACAAGATAACATTATTCATAAATAAAATGCTCTTACAAAACAATAAAGATCTAGCAGCACTTAGAAGAATGGACAAAGAGCCTGAGTGAATCACAAAAATATATATAAATGTCTAGTAATAATAATTTTAAAAGTTCAGTCTCAATAATGAATAAATAGCAATTTAAAGCATTGAGTAACAAATTTTTATTAATTTGAGAGAATATTTCAAATAATTAATGCTACTAAGGTTATATGTAGCATTTTCAAACATTGCTGGAAGCACCATCTGGCAAAGCACTTTGACAATTTTGTATCAAGAACCTCAAAAATGTCAATATTCTAGGACTCAGTAGTTTCATTTATAAAAGTGACCATAATGAAATAATAAGAAAAGCCATGGTTTATATATTTGGCTGTCCATTTCAGTGTTATTCATAGTAGAAAATTGGAGATAGCCTAAATATTGGACAAAGAACTGCTATGTATGTTCCAAATTTTAGAATGTTATGTTAATGATATAATATGGGTAAATATTATTAAATTTAAAAGTCATAAAAACACTCTTATATTGTCCCAATTTTTATGTGTAAAAAAACACTAGCCCTAGCAGGTTTTGCTCAGTGGATAAAGCATCAGCTTGAAGACCAAAGGGTCCCAGGTTCAATTCTGGTCCAGGTCCATGCCTGGGTTGTGGGCTCAGTCCAATGTACAAGAGGAAGCCAATCAATAATTTTCTCTCATCATTGATGTTTCTATCTCTCTCTTTCTTGCCCTTCCTCTCTGAAATCAATAAAAATATGTTTTTAAAAAGAAAACACGAAAAAAGTAAAAATATTTATTTCCAGATTTGAAATTATGATTTTTTTAAACTTTTAACTATTTCCTAAACTTCTCATAGTTGGCATCTATTAATTAACACATTATTGTCATTGTTAACCTTTTTTTCAAGTATGATCATTAGATTCATTCTTACTCAGTTTCCAAATCAATTCTGAGCAGGACAGAAAGTACACCACAGGTGTAAATCTAACAATCCCAAAATTCAGCAATCCAACTGCTATTGATTAGCATTGCATCCCATGTAGCTTCTAACTCACAACCCCAATTGTGTGTGTGTGTGTGTGTGTGTGTGTGTGTGTGTACTACTTACTAGCTGCCTTCAAAATATTGACTATCACTTATAAGTTCAATGATTTGCCCCTCGCTTCATATTAATCCTCAGTTATTAACCAGAGACATATCTCAACTTGCCTTCTTATCTTTGGTAACTGTTACTTTCAACAGTAGTATCCAAACTTTTTGATCCTATAGTCCTACCTGTAAAAACTTGTTGAACATACAACTCTAATAATGCTATAATTACTTTTAAATATATATATATATACACACACACACACATATATATATAACTGTTAACATATGTTACAAATTATCCAAATATTAAAAATTATAAAGAATGTTACTAAAAATACAAATTATTATTTTGTTCCTACACCCCAATGGATCATGGCCATGCTATGGAGATCACAGGCTTAGACCACACTCTTCAACCCCACTATCCATCGCTTTTCCTCATTGCATCTGGAATCACGTTCTGAAATTCAAGAATGCCTTAGATTTGAGTCAATTCAAACTATGACAATATTCATAACAGAACTCACTTGTCTAATGTCAAGTCATGTCCTTCTCATGCCCTATTTTATCTTTTAGAAAGATATTTCATCTGTATTTCATCTACCTAATAAAAGAGTAACATGCTAATTGACTGTATCTCCTTGATGCCCACCAGCCAACCAGGAGTGACTATACAAATTAACCCAACAAAGATGGTGGGTTAATTTGCATACACAGGCACTGAGCAGCTGGGGGTGGGGTAAGATGCTTGCTTTGGCAGGCGTTCAGCCATTCTGGGCCACTGGGCAGTGTGGGAAGGTGGAAAGGCGGCTCTGGGCAGGAGCAGGAAGGCGGCTCTGGCCAGAGAGAAGGCGGTGCTGGCAACCAGGGGAAGAAAGGCCCATTCTCACACAAATCTTTATGCACCAGGCCTCTAGTAGATGAATAATATATACAGTGACAAAAGAAAACTTATTCAATATCCTAAATTCAATTACAGCAGACAGGAGGGCGGGAGCAAGAGACAAGGGAAATTAATCTGTTAACAGTCATATGCCAAAATCAACAAAAGACTGCTCACATTCCTGATTGTATGTTGAAACTTTGAATCAACATCCAGAGAGCTATCTAGAAAAAAGAGCCAACCACCAGACATCACCACCTTTTGCTTCTGCATGAACATGCTGGATTGTTGCCCACAATCAATCCAAAAGCATTTAATACATCTTCCTTATGAACTATTCACCTATCCCAGAACTTTCTCCACTTCACATTTCCTCCACACCCCCCTTATTTATAGCTAATGTAAATTTATTTAAAACAACATATCTTTCTTCCCCAAACTCACTGGATAAATGACCTCCATCACCCTCAGGATGATGGACATGTTTGTCTTCTCCAGTTAGCTCTGCTGCTGGATGTCCAGGGACTACATCCTTTTCCCGGCTAACAAGTGGCTCAATAAATCCTTTTGCTCAGGACAACTTTAACAGTATAACTATATTTCTACTATTAGTGTTACCATTTGTTAATAATGATTGCTACTTCTTTACTTTCATATGTCATAACATTAGTTAGCTCTTTCAAAAGTTTCAGTGACATACCTCTGCAGACTTTTGGAGGTTATCATGGCACGGAGCAAGAAGGGATGTCTTCTCCCATTTCTGTGCAACTTGATTGGCTTCTTCTATCTTCTGCTCATAACTTTTTTGAGAATTCAGCAATGTCACCTCATAAAATTCCTGAATATCTGTGAAGAAAATGTAAGGAAAGAATCAAACTGTAAGGTAACACCTCATAAATGAGTATATGGACAATTTTGCTGATTAAAGGAAGTGCATAACCCTGGTCAGGTGGCCCCATTGGTAGGAGTGTGGTCCCCATGCACCAAAATGTGTCAGGTTTGATTCCAGTCAGGCACATTCCTAGATTGTGAGCAAATTTGATCCCCATTGAGTGTGTATGAGAGACAATTGATTGATGTTTCTCTCTCACATCTCTCTGTATCTTTCTCCCTCTCTCTCTCTCTCTCTCTCTCTCTCTCTCTCTCTCTCTCTCTCTCTCTCTCTTTCTCTCTCTCTTTCTCTTCTTTCCTCTCTCCCTGTCTCCATTCCTTTTTTTTTCTCTAAAAATAAATAAAAACATATCCTAGAGTGAGGATTTGAAAGTACATAAATATGCATTTCAAAGAAAAATAATAAAAATAGAGAAAATCCTGAAAATTGCATTTTTGCCTTCATGAGAATTCTTATAGCAACTTTATTCATAACTGCAAAAACTGGCAGAAACCAATATGCCTTTCAATTGTTGAATGGATAAACAAAAAAGAAAATTCACATGATGAAATACTATTGTACTTAGCAATTAGAAGGAATGGGCTATCAAATCATGCAAAAACATGAATGAGTCTTAAATGCAAATTGCTAAGTTAAAAGACTATACTTCTCATTTCCTACAATACTTAAAAGCAAAACGAAGGCAGTATAATAATCAGTGATTGCTAGAAGATCTGGGACATGGGAGGAGGATCAAATAGGTAAAGCACGGGTTGATGGTGAACACCTAACAGGAGCATTTGTCAAAACCCATAGAACTTTACAGCACAAAGAGGAAACCTTAATGTAGGCAATTTTTAAAATATATATTTTATTGATTTTTTACAGAGAGGAAGGGCGAGGGATAGAGAGTTAGAAACATTGATCAGCTGCCTCCTGCACAACCCCTACTAGGAATGAGCCCACAACCAAGGTACATGCCCTTGACAGGAATCAAACCTGGGACCCTTCATTCCACAGGCCAACACTCTATCCACTGAGCCAAACCACTCAGAACAAAGAAGGCAATTAAAAAAAAATTATTAGGAGGTCAAGGAATTCCAATATGAAATGCAAAATATAACAAAAGAATCTGTTTTATAAATGTAGGATGCTTTTTTTATATATACACTTTCTTTGTCTTGGTTTTCCAGTGTCTACTCATTTTCTGGTCATTGCCTTTCTTCTCCTAATGCCTTCAGTGAGATTATTTCATATATTGGAAATGAAATAGGGAAAACAATGTGGGATTCATTGGAACCCTCTATACTATCTTTACTTTTCCATAAGCACTAAAGCTACTTTAAAATAAATAGAAGAGGTCAATGGGGAGGAAAAGAGGGGGAGGCATATGTAATATCTTCAACAATAAAGATGTTTTAAAAATAAAATAGGTTATTTTTAATTGCCTTTATTTAAGAGATTGCACAATCACTGTTAGAAAGCTAGCCAAATAACTTCCAAAATGAATGCTTTCATAAATCCATCTTCAGGTTTATGATGTAAATGAGATTAAAAAATTATCCCACAAAGTTAAATGTCATAATTGTTTAACATATGAAGTACAGTTTTGAAGACATCTGCTTCTGACATTATGGCTAAGTGCTCTGCAGATTAACTAGGCACTGGAATGGATGGGATGTTTGAAGCATTACTAATGTTGCAGCAGATGGGGTAGGTCTCCAAGATAAATCTTACACACACACACACACACACACACACACACACACACACACACACCCTAAGCTGAGATCAGATCAGCTAAAGCCATGGTCGGCAGAGCCATGGTCGGCAAACTGTGGCTCACGAGCCACATGCTGCTCTTTGGCCTCTTGAGTGTGGCTCTTTCACAAAATACCACGGTCTGGGTGAGTCTATTTTGAAGAAGTGGTATTAGAAGAAGTTTAAGTTTAAAAAATTTGGCTCTCAAAAGAAATTTCAATCGTTGTACCTTTGATATTTGGCTGTTGACTAATGAGTTTGCCAACCACTGAGCTAGAGGATTAAAGGATGGGGTGGTGCTGAGGACAGGTACCAAGTACAGAATTTCTATCAGCACACTAGACCTTAGATCAGCAAGTAGAAGTAAGGAAGCAAACCCTTGAACTTCCTCATTGAGTCAAGAGCCTAAAGGGATGCTGTTCAATGTCAGTGGCTCCCCACTGGCTATGGCAGCAGCAAAAAAAAAAAAAAGTTTTCTAAAGGAAATCTTAAGGCTGAAGGACGCTCATTGATTTGGATCAAGAAATGAGCTCACAATCAAAGATCACAAATGCTCAAAAAGCATGTCTCTATGGATGAAATTCAGCAGGAATAACTTAGGTTTAGATGACCAATTATTGTTGATTTTTTAATTTTCTCATATAGAACATAGAAGAGATATGTAAAGTGTTAAAGAAACAATGATCACAATTACAATGATGAGCAAATAATAAGGATCTAGTAAGTATAAGCAGGCAGAATGAGGAAAACAAATATAACTTGTGAAAATTATAAATAGATTAATGGATAGCAAAAGAGATAGACTGGTGTGATATATAATAAATATAATAAAATGCTAATTATAGAAATTATGTGTGAGTACATAGATGTTTTGTGTAATATTCTTATAACTGTTATGTTTGAAAACTTTCATAATAAAATATTAGAAAATATGTAATTAGTTAAAGTTAAAAAATTAGCCAGGACCGGTTTGGCTCAGTGGATAGAGCATCGGCCTGCGGACTGAAAGGTCCCGGGTTCGATTCCGGGCAAGGGCATGTACCTTGGCTGCGGGCACATCCCCAGTAGGGGGTGTGCAAGAGGCAGCTGATCGATGATTCTCTCTCATCGATGTTTCTAACACTCTATCCCTCTCTCTTCCTCTCTGTGAAAAATCAATGATATATTAAAAAATAAATAAATAAATAAAAATAAAGTTAAAAAATTAACTGATGGGTTAAACAGCAGATTAGAAAAAGCAAAGCAGAAAAATATACCCAAAGAAATTACCCAAAATAATTTACAAATTACCCAAAGTAACACAAGAGAAAATAAAATGGAAAAAAAATAAAGCAATATCAAGATGTATAGAGGATACATGAGAAGACACACTATTTTTCTAATAGCTGTCTTCAGGGAGAAAATAGAGTAAATAGCAAATGATGTTTAAAGCAATAACAGATATGAAAATTTTAGAACTTATTATATAAATGCACATGTCCTGAAAGTACAGTTTATACTAAAGATAATAAATAAAATCTATGACTAGGATTAGACATATAATAAAATCGCAGAATACGAAATACAAAGCAAAGATCTTAAAAGCAGAGAAAAAATGAATTAGATTTCTCAATAATAATGAAAGCCAGGCAACAATAGAATAATAACTTCAAAGTTTTGAGAGAATATAACTATTTATATAGGCATGAGTTCCTTTGAAAATCATACATCTGATTATTAAAAAAATGAAAGAACTTACAGCTGAGCATATAAAAAACTCTTAAAATACAGTACACAGGAAACCAAACAATCCAATTGAAAAATGGGTAATAGACTTGAATGGGTGTTTCACTAAGAAAATAATCGAGGGCAAAGAAGCACATGAAAATATAATCAACATCATTACTCTAAGAAAATGAAGAATTAAAACCACAATGAAATAACACTACCTAATTTTTAGAATGGCTAAAATTAAAATGACCAATCATAACAAGCACTCTCACAGGAATGTGAAGGAACTGGAACGCTCATACACTGGTGATGAGAATGGAACATGGTACAACCACTTTGAAAAGCAGCCTGGCAGTTTCTTAAAAAGTTTAACATACAGCTAGTATGTGATCCAACCATTTTAGTTTTTGGTATTTAGATAAATATACATGTCCATCTGAAAAGTTAAATCTGGAAGCACCCAGATGGTCAATCCATAGATGAATGAATAAACAAATTGTGTTCATACAATGGAATGTTGCCCAGTAATAAAAAGGAACTATCTGTACAAACATCATAAATGAATCTCAAAATAATTATATCGAATGAAAGAAGTCAGACAAAAATGAGTGCATCTTGTTTAATTACAGTTATATAAAATTGTAGAAAACAATCTATATTGACAGAAAACAATCTGTGATTGCCTGAGAGTTGGGGGGAGGACTGGCAGAAAGGAGTGAAGGAGAGGATCACAAAGGGTCAAGAGGTTATGGATATGCTCACTAACTTGCTTGTGCTAATAATTTCATGAAACTCTATATTTTTAGGCACCCATACATACATATATGAAAAGGCATACAGACCAAAGCAATGAAACGCATGAAAAGATGTAAGGACCTCAGTGGAAGGGGATAAGTAAAAAAATGTGATAAGGGACAAATGCATAGGTAGATGCAAATTAATCTAGTTCTACATTTGGCAATGATTTCAGACATGTTTATTTTATTATCATGCTACATATAATACACATAAATTACATATATTATTTTATTCGTATTGAAATTGCTTTTTAAAAATAATGATGAAAAACTGTTTCATGGATATTAAGACTGATATTAAAAAGTTAAAATACTCAAATTTTATGCCCAGCTACCACTTTATTCTGCCACTAGCAATAAAGTAGCTGTGAAATCATGTTTGAAAAAGGTATAAGCACAGAGGGTAAAAGCCACACAGATATAAATGCCTCCAGATTTTTAAATATAGTATGGCTTGGTAGGATATTAACTAAGTTGACAAAGGTCACAGGAATAAGGAAAAAGAAAAATCCAAAAAATATGTATCCATTATCTGCTCTTAAGAATCAGTTAAAAATATAAGTAAAACATTTTTGCACACAGTAAAATTTCAAGACTTCTTTGCATCAAATTTAAGGATGTAAATGCTTTCATAAGCAGCATTTGCAAGTTTCCAAATTTTAAAATGTTAGGTGATAAGTTATCCAGAAATAGAAGCATATTTATCA